AGTGTATTACAAATCATTAAAAAGACAATTGATTTTAAAGCAGTGAATAAACGGAACTAAATATGAAATCCTTTAAAGCAGTGTAATTTTAATCGTAATTTTATTCTAAGTGATCGTGCAAACCGAAGCTTACAGAGCTTCGGTTTGCACGATCACGCAATGCTACTCGAACTTGACACTAAATATAACTTTGATAACTAGACAACACCAACACTAGGGCAGCCTTCAAATAATACAAAGCTAATTTTGATCGGTACACTGCTTTAAATAACATCATTATATTAATTTACCATCCCACTACACAACATAAAACATCTAGATAGCTAATAGAACTACAGTTTACATACAGTAGATACAGAAGACGATAGACGGATGGAAATTCTGGGGCTTTAGCATTACAATTACATATCTAAGAATCTAGGACTATTTTATACTAGAGGGTAAATAATTAGTTTGGCATTAGAGATTTTATTTACAATAAATAAATTTGGAGTATGCTAATTACTAATTTGGGCTACTACAACATCTATGAAAATTTTGTTCCAAACAGTTTATAATTAATTAATTTGACAAACTGACACTTATATAAAATAAATAGCAAGAAGGAGAATGTTTTAAAGTTAGCGTAGCTGCTTTAGTAGTGCAGAGAAATTTAGATTTCAATATTTCCCTGATTTTCGTTGAACACTCTTGGTATGGGAAAAAGAAATAATAGTTTTGATTTCTCAGATTTATCAAGCGTAAAAATTATAGTTTAAGGATAGATAGCCCATTAATTAAACTAATACAGCATATCTAGCTCTCCTAATTTTCAAATAGCATCTAATATGAAGCTGAAAATCTACCCAAGATTGGCTCAGTACAATTTGCTCTAAACTACTATTATGTTTCACTTGGAACCTCTAAGTCGATTTAAATTACATCGACTTTATCTAATATTGGAGAAATAAAATCTTCGCTTCTGAGCAAAGGCAACACACGTACAAATAGAAGTAATAGGTCACAGCACTTGACTTAATCAATAATGTTAGTTAACATTTAATATTTACAGCTCACACGATCATTCACACAAATCATTCAGATTAGTGCAGTACATTCTAACAATCAACAATAAAATGTGCTTTAGGAATCGTATTCGAGATCGAGATACCAACAATAATTTGACTGGGGATAAAGACGTGGAATGTCGAAGAGTAGTAAGTTTTGCACATTACCTTCTAAATGTAAAAGCAAATTTAAACGAATTTTGAATTTGAGTATCGTTCTAGAAAACTCTTTTAAGATCCAAAAAAATTACTAAATTAAAAAAGGTTCTTTCTAGCAGATTGCAATACATTATAAAAAACAATTTTGAACAGATATAATTAAAGATCAATTTATTTATGTATATTATTACTTGTCGACATTGCCATCTTTAATCTTAAAACATTTTCAGTTGGCAGACTGCATGTTATAAAAATATTTATACTGAAGTCTTTATATCTTATACATTACATAACAATAAAGTTTATAAAGATCGGTGATTATCTACGTTAGACATATTATGACCTAGAATATTTAATCTATTGTGATTCACGTGTAGCTTTTCTTCTATCTTGGATGGATCGTTATCAGAACCCTCTTTCAGAAGCTCCCACAAATTGTTCTTATTTAAAATATCAAAACCTTGCTTATTTTCTGGAGCGATATCAGGTTTTATATTCTCTGACAGTGATTTAGACGTCTCGGAAATAGGTGTGGGTGGTATTTTGTGTATTTCTTTGTTTATAGATTTCAAAGTTTTAATATTGTATTTTGGTGATATTATTTTTTTCTTAGTCTTATTGATAAAACCAGAGTCAATGACGTCACTCCTGTTATGCTTCGTGGTATTGTTATGAATTGCGTTTATTAACGGTTTCTTTATTTGAGTTATTGATTTTGGTTTCTTTGTTCTGTAAAGGATTGTTTTAATATTGTTATTAGTGATCGTCGTTTTTGTATGTGGTAATAGTTCTGAATTTGGTTGCTGTTTTGGCACTTCAGATGTTTTGTTTATTATTGCTTTTACTTCTGTATGTTTGTCTACAACATCGAAAGATTTATTTTGTGGTAAGATATCATTTTTAATTTTTACCTCATTCACTGCAGTAGTCTTTTCAAAAAGGTAAGTTTCTGTACTTGTTATTATATCTTGTGTTTTATTAGGAATAACATCAGATGAAATCAAAACATGACTGTCTTCTGGTTTTTCCAGTACAACCTTGGGTGTACTTTCTTGTTCTACTAAAATTTCCTTTGTTTTATTTAATTTAATACTAGCAGTTACAGGAATTGGAGTTACTTTTTCACCTTTTTTCATATTCATAAAAAACTTTTCATGTTTATCACCATACGTTGCCTTAAGTGTACCTTTTCTTCGCGGTAAGGGCTTTTTCTTAACGTCATCTTTCTTTGGTATTAGTTTTGGCAGTACTGATTTTTGAATAATCAATTCACCATTTATTTTTGGCACTATGCTATTTATTACTTTTAAATTTTCAGTTTTATTTATATACGTTACAGTTGGAATTATAATCGGATCATCAATGTTATCTGTATATTCTGCAGTTGGTTGTATATGTTCTTCAGTACTATCTATAACTGTTGTAGTTGTAGGTTCTTGAGTTATGACATCTGCCATTGCTCTAGATGAAGTAGGTACTACTGTAGTGGTAGGATCTTCAGTAGGTGTCATCTCTACACTAGTTATTTTTGTGCTCATTAGTTCGGTCGTAACTTCATCGTTTTCCGTACTGTCGCTACTGTGTTCCTCGAAATTCTTTCTAAATTCATAATCCCTGCTACAAATACGTCCACACTCACAAATATTATCGATACTGGCACTTGTTTTAAGACTTGCAAGTTCTGTTTTATCGAACCAAGTAATGAAGTCGTCATCAGTTATGCCTCGGAGCAACGGACTTCCTGCCCTTGCGTGGAAAAATGTTTCCACTGCTAGATCGGGTCTAGTAGAAGGATAAATCTTGGCAAAAGCAGGGCGTAAGCTAGTTATCACAAATTTTGAACGTACTTCATAAGTCACACAAACAGGGCACGTGGAGCTGATCTGCAATGAAGTATACGAAATACCAGGTGACTAAATATGATACGTAAAACTTAAATCTATTTAACTTTTTGTATACCTATAGCAAAACGGGATAACTTTCAAACTAGTTACTTACATTTGCAAACACGAACCATACAGATTCTCCTCTAGAACCAAAGTGTAAGTCGGCAAAGGTAGCACCATCCAATACAACTGGGTTGACAGAATGTAGTTCATATCCAGAAAATAATGAAGATTCAAGACGCAAAATACCTGAACGCTCTTTGCCTTTCCATCTGAAAAAGGGTAATAATTTATAAAGGTTAACACATAAAATAGGAATTCCACAGCACAGTGCCATCTACCGGGCTGCTTCGAATCGAAACCATCCATGGGCCATTGAAAAACAAATAAAGATTATATATTATATTCGTTCATCCAATTGAAAAGAAATTCAGTATACACTATGATACATATTATATATAACTAACCAACTATATTATATATTATATTAAAATACATAAAAAAAGATACGGTAGTACTATATTTTTATACCGATTTACTTACTTGAAACATGATTTAATTATCAATGTAGGCAAATTGCCTTGTAGATCTTCAATGCTACTTCTTTCGGGGCGAATCTCCTCGATAATCGCAGCTTGAATATTTAACAACGCATTTTCTGGTTTCGGTGTGTATGTAGAATAAGCAATTGTACCCTGAAAATCAAAAATAACAATAATTCTTCGACGCTTACTTGTATACAAATACACATCACCTCTTTTTACCAACCAACTACTTATTATTTTATAAGAGTAGTGAACCATGGTCTAATGGTTAGTGAGCCGGAGGTCGTTGGTTCCAAATAATTGTTTGATGAACATGATTATTTGTTCTGTGTCTGGGTATAACTTATCCATAATATGTATGTATTCAGGAATATTAAAGTATTTTTATTAGCAGTCTGGTTACCATAGCAAGGTCTCTGCCTATTTTGGGATCAAAATGTCGTGTGTGAGATACCAGTATTCTTATTTAACCTGGGATAATTTGATAGACTTCAAAGCTGCAATCATTTGATCGAAAGCCCGACGCACCAGATAATATGTTACTGCCTTAAATCATTACCTACAAAAAAGATATTTAACGTCTAGCATCTCTCCTACCAACTGACGGCCCTCTAGTATCATAAGTCAAATTAAATGCACGCAATTCTTCGGTTTCCTGCTACACACTTCCGTCCCTTTTATCAAAATCATTCTCATATATTGCAAGAGATCGAACAGAAGTATGTTACACATTAAAAATATTTTGGAATACGTCTGTAATTTTATTAATTAAAGATTTTATTACTATTTATATACTTATTATTATTTACCTGAACAGTAGCACACCCTGCACCAGTAGCATACACAAATACTTTAGTAGGCAGTCCAGGCAATTGTAATGGCCTGGGAGGTGTACGGGCGCGCAATTCCAGGGTATCCGTCAGTTCCATTCCGGCTGTTGCTAGTGATACCGTCAGAGCTCGATGCCTGAAGAGACATAAAGGCTCTTTTTATATATTTGGATTGAGTCTATATGCCTTTTTAAAAAATTGTTTTTAAATTCATTTTTGGTATAATAGCTATATTCTTTTTTACCTGTCATGAGCCAACGCAGCATATTGGGCAGCTGCTTTAGTGGCACTATAAGCCAGACTGGGGTGTCTCTGCAACGTTGACGCGCGGTAGTATAAGAATCGAGCAGCCGCTTCTCCTTCTGCTAAAGCACCCCTGGCACAGGCGGCAAGAAGAACACGTACTCCAGCTACGTATTGCTCCATTGTTACTGCCTCTGTTAAGTTTGTAAATATTTTTCAAAACTTCTGCACAAAAATTAATCTACAAAATTTATTGATTAAAGGAAAGCTTTGTTGTCAATGTGATCGATTAAAGTTCATGTGACCTAAGTAATTTATATCATCAGAACTCCTTAATAAGATTTGAGGCAAATATTTTTGATGGACTAAGAGATTCTCTGATATTTTTAATTTTTACATACATACAAAATTATTTTTGCATGCATTACATGAACATACTCGTACAATATTCAACGCGCTATCTACAAATGAATGTAAAGAATGAATGGTCTCATAAAAAAATATAATTACAAGAGGTAAAGTTGTCGCCATTTGACAGTATAACACTCTGAGCTGAATCTGCAGGCAATATGCTCCACTTTGCAACGGTTCTGATTAAGAAAGTTCACACAGAAAAGCAATATTATTTTACCATAAGAAGTCGTCTTGATATTTCTGGAAGTTTCTTCTAACAACCAGTCTGCAGCGTCTTTTCTTGGGGCTGGCCAACCAAACTCCCCTTCTTCAGTTGTCGAAGCATTTCTTAGAATCACAAGTGCTTCTGGTACTATGGGACTCCTAGAATATTTTTAATTTTCAGTACAAAAAAGTATGTTGAGAAACTATTTTTATACCAAGGATTTAGGAACTCATTCCCTTACAAGTTATACAAATTAGTAAGCCACAATTATATCTAAATTCTGTATGAATTGATACAATTTTTCATAAATTCAATATATTACTAAGAATAAATTTCGACTTCCAAAATGTTAACGTTTTTCGTGCCTGTGTATATCCAAAAAAATACTTGCTTGCAATTTACTATGTTCGTGTTTTTCATAATTTTACATAATACAACACGTTGGAAAAACGGCATGGGATAAGTAGTTGAAGTGTAAAATGTTGCGCCAGCGAATAACAGACTAGCGGATATAATTTACAATAAAGTTAGTAATACTCACCGTGCTAAAACTAACGCTAATACAGTAGCAGCAAGAGCAGCCGGTGATGTTAGGTTGTGCAGATTCTGTTCCAAGTATTTCTGAGACTTCATCGCAACGTCAGCATCAATCTGCATATAGTAGATACGATTTAGGTATCAATTTAAAATAACGAAGGTGTAAAAAATATGTCAGCATTAATCACTTTACCATGTAAGTTGATTTGTCCGTACCTGATTCTCAACACCAACTTCAAGCAAAGTAACTAAAGTCTCTGCAGTTACTTCTACTTTCCTCTCCCAATCAATTTCTTTCTGTGTCATGTTACCGTCTTTGTCATAATAGTAGTACTCATTCACGTCTATATCTTTCATAGTGCTGTTCGATTTTGGCATATCTATGGGATAATAGTCTACTTCTTTGTCTGCTGCCAAAGGTGTAAAAGATCCATCAGAATTTTGGCGTTTCTGGATCCATTTTTTAATAGCTTGAAGCAAATCTGGGTCCACTGGGTAATAGGACTGGATTTTGGTTAAAATTTCTAATATTTTGATAGTCGATAGATGACTGCTCATCCCAGGATGATCGCTGAAGGAATTGTCGCTTTTGCGGAAGGATAACAATACTTGAACCTGATGAAAAAACATTTCAGTAAAATTATAATTTATTTTAGATGTGATATTTCTTTCTCAATATACCATACCATGGCTAGTACCAATTTTCAAGAAACCACGAAATTACAGGCTATATATTAAATTTAAAAAATAATTGTTGTATTTCTTAATAACTAAACTTAGTGTGACTAAATGTTGAGTATTATTGAAAAGCTTTGTAGACACTCAAGTTATCATTTACGTACTTGTTTCTTAGGAGAAGTGGTCTGGAGAGCACTCTATAAAGTTCATATTTGTAACCTATTACAAATCAATATTATTATGTAAATTCTCTAATTGTGAAAAAGCTGAGCTACTGGATATTCACAAACTCGTAAAAGGGAAATAATACAAGTAATTAATTACCTGTTCAGGCAACTTTCTCAAAATCCTCTCCCGTTCATTATCGTCGACTAAATGTGGAATATGTTCAAGTGCTAGCAGCGGAGCCAAACTTGCAGATGCTGCAGATAACTGTGAGTCTCTCCACACTTCAGCCCATTGATCTGTAGAGTCTGTTTGAAGATTGTACAGAGGCAGATGTAGACCACCAGAGACGAGAAGGGTACCACTTGTAGAACCAGGAACAACACCACGAGGGAGACCCAATTCCAATACTTGTGAGAAACCAGCTTCTTCGTTGAAATTCCAAATTCTGAAAGAAAGATTTATAATGTAACAAAGCACGACTAGTGTTGTATTTTTTGGTATACTTTTTATTATTATAGTATTATTTTAGCTATAATTTGCCTCCATGTTTTAATAGTTTTTTACGTCATTACCTCAAGTATATTGTCACAGTTGTCCCAGTACTTTTAATATGGATGTAGTTGTACAAAAAAGAACTCAAATTCACAAATTTTTTCTCTTCGAATAAATATATGATATTATAATTAAATACTCAGAGTATATAAACATAAATTGAAGAAAGAGAAAAATATACATAATCATACCTGAAATCAGCTTTATCTCCCCATAAGGCACTGAAGCCTACATACTTGATCCTCATGTCGGAAGCAAGTGGCCAAACTAAGAGCCTTCTCTCTGAAGGTGCTGCCCCCCTCCCAACAGATAACCGACCTCCTTCCCACCAAACCCACCAAGCGCACCATGCAGATTCACTTGAGCATTCTTCATCACTTTCTGTTTCTTCTGCACTCGCTAGATGAACATCGTAACCTAAAAATATTTTAAAATATTGTAAATATATAAATGAAGTATTTATAGTTATTAACAATGGATGATTATTTTTAATATAAAAATAAAATACAAATAATGGTTATTACACATTATTATTAGTATTCAAACGACTGTCAAATATTATAAGCCGAGAATCAAAAATATGGTTGACTATAAAAAAAATCTAATGCTTCTGTAATTCTAAACTTTACACAAACTACTAATGAAAACAAATTATACAGTAAATTATAAAAATTTTTTTCATTTAGATCACATAATTATTAATAGGCTTTTATACAGAATTATTATTAGAACTTATAATTTTCTTAGATTTTTTTTTAATACTTATTTCTAATTAAGCATTTTATTTCATTTTGTCGGCTATCTAACGATTGTCGGCTATATAACGATGACGACGCAAACAGGACTGTTTGCTGTTTATTACCTAGAAAACTTCAAGTTTGGTGGTAACTGCCTTGCAACCTTAATGCAGAATCTTAAAAAAATCCTTTTTATGCATCCGTTATTATTATTTTAACATTGATTTTCAATATTTAAATAAAACTAAAGTAAGAAAAAATTTACCATGTTTTCCTTTAGCAATCCAAACTCTCGTTCTCTCAAATACAACACGGTACATGTTATCAGAAGGTTCTCGTATTGCAGACAAGGCGACATGAGCAGCTCCTTGCGATCGTAATTCTAAGACCAAGCCTGCTCGATTCCTTGGTGCAGCTACCCACTGCCATTCCCAGGATCCACGAGTCGATACCGCCAAATGTTCTGAAATTAATAAATATTAAGATTTTTGATGAAATGCTTAATCCTCTTGATAGTAGGACAATAATAAAATTATTACATACTAGCTGACCCGGCAGACTTCGTACTGCCTCAATTAATAAATAAAAGACTTAAACTTTTGTATAAAATAAACAAACAAAAGGAATCTTTTTTTTAAGAATACAATTAAAAAATGCACGGAATTAAAAAAATAATCGAGCATTTTCATATTTATTCACATTTTAAACCTTCTCTGGACTTCCACAAATAATTCAAGACCAAAATTAGCCAAATCGGTCCAGCCGTTCTCGAGTTTTAGCGAGACTAACGAACAGCAATTCATTTTTATAAATATAGAGATAACAGATTTCTGTCTAAATCCCAACTCTATCTTTACGAAAGATTTTTTAGAAATGCATTCATATTTTACAGAAAAATACTGACCTATGTAAATGAAACTCAAGTCCGCAATCTCTGGTCTCTTAAGTTGCACAGTACAGAGCAGTAAATTCACATGTATTTGAAAACAGTTTATTCAAAAGAAAAGTGCATTAATTCCACTCCTGTTTGAAGATTATTTTGGAACAAGTTAAATTATAATCCAGTTATAAAACAAATAAAACCATAATCCTCACACGGGTCTTGCATAAATTACCCGCCTGGTCCTTCTATTTAAATTAGTCTGCAGAATATAAATTGTGATAAAATCATTAGACTAATGATTTTAACAGTAGTTGTTAAACTCATTCTAGCCTTTTCTAAGAACGGTATTGATTTATATCGGGTATAAGACATACAGGTATTCCCGATGGACGACCAAATTCAACTTTTTTTTATATAAAAAGTTGTAAATGTATAAAAATTATAGGCCTGAGGTAAAATTCTTCAAGTTCATAAAAGTACTAACTTTTGTTTCAACAATGACCTATGGAATCTGATCGAAACTTTAGGGGAAAATATTTCATACGTATACATTTTTCATAAAAGTTTCATAGATATGCTAAAGAAATGAAAGACAAATCAACGTTTCATATCTTTGCTAGACACCAGTATGCTGGGTCTGGTTTAGGGTTCAAACTAATAAACTGTGAAGGACCGATATTTAGTGGCATAATTTTGAGCGCTTACCGTTTGCACAGAAGTAAGCACTTTGCGTGTCAGTCCTGTGAAGACCTTCAGGCAGCACGAGTACGCTGGCAGACCGGATTACAGACCCCACAAGGGTCTCGTTGTTGAAAGATGTATAGGAGATTGAGCAGTTGTCAGCACTGTAGCCGGTGACTTCCACTGTAAAATATTTAATCAATACGTTTAATACTATAAAAAATAACATAAAACACTATAACATTACATATACCTACATTCATGAACGTGTATAGAAAATATTTTTTTTCGGTTTGAATCTCATTGGTCAAATTATAGAACTCGTATTACGCACGATAATTAGATGCAGTCACTTAATTCCTTTGGCGACTCGAAACTAAAAGGAGCTAGATAGTTCAACTTTTTAATGTTGAAAAAGAAGGAAGGAAATGTTGTCTTTAGTCTGATGAAAGACTTGTGAGGTTGGCAATAGTAGTGAAAAGACAACATATTAGGAAAATATCCTGTGTCGCGGGGGACTTTACAAACATACATGAAACGGACACAAAGAACACCCAGACTCAGAACAACAATTTGTGGATCACACAAAGTGTCGTCCCATGTGGGGTTTGAACCCACAACACCCGGCGTAGTAGGAAGCGGCGTGGCGACCGCTTAAACCACTACGCCATCCGTGCAGTCAGTTCAATAGTTCACAGAGAGCCAATACCGATAAGCATGTCATCTTACATTGATGCTAAAAGGTGTTATTCTATTCAAACTATTGTAATACATACAGTGTACTGTCGTGTTATTAAGTAATAAGTTGGAGACAAATGACACGTGGTGAGGTCGTAAGTGAGGAAATTTATTAGAAGTTTAGTGGTGAGGTCTGCTAACCCAACTTTATTACTTCATCACTTATTCTTTATACATATTGTAAGAGCTACTCAGGTATAATGAACATCTACAAAGTACAGTAGCAGACTACGTGATCGATATATCATCGTAAATCGATGTCATAATAATTTAGGATGACATCAAATTATTTATACTACCACGATTCCATAGAATCCTGTTCTCGACGAAGCATTTTTATGACTATGACTATCACAGAGATTTTGTGGTCCAAAAGAAAACTTGTAGCGGTGTCAGAATACAATAAGTAGAATTTATATTGCTAGTCATTTTTACATGCACAATTTGCAATTGTAAGATGGCAAAAAGATGTTACTGTGACACAAACTCGCTATGGCTCTACCAGATGAATGCAGTGTTCATACATCGTAGTTGTCGTAATTTAATAATAAATTATCATTGGTACTTGAATAATTGTTGATCAGAAAACTCTTTGTACAAATTGTAGTCATTGGTAGTTTGTCTATCGACTACCTACACCTACTGAAAAATATCCCTAGCATATTATATAAATATATAATTAATATAATTAATTTTATATTTATAATTAAACTTGTGAGAGCTTGCGACTGGAATTAAAAAAAAAACAGTCTCTAATCTCCAACCTATGACTTAGACCAAAAAACTAGCTTACACGTTATGGTTACTTTAGAGAATACAATCGTACTGCAAAGGTAATAGAATCTGCTATGTTTATAGCCATCATGGTCGTAGGAAACACTTGGAAAGCAATTGAACAGTGCAGTTTTATTGTTTGAATGAAGTTGAACGCGACAGGAGCGGCACACAATTCTACTACTACAATCATTTTTGCAGTTATAAGCTATTTGGGTTTGAAAATACTCTTCTATTAAATTGGATTTTATCGTACCAAATACTGCTTTATTATATATTGCTAAATTTAACGTGATGTAGAAATCAAAGGAATGCATGCGAAAACGTAACGTTTTGTATTGTGACTTTTGAATCATTTCAGATTTTGATATAAATCTATGCAATATATTTATTGACCATTGTTATTGTGTGTTTTTAATTTTTATGTTCACAATTTATAAGTTAGAGATATTGTTTCTAGCCTTTCGTGGTTCTACTTAAGGTAACTTAGGTAGGTTATGTGAGGTACTTCCCATAGACCTAGCTCTATGGGAAGTACCTCAGTGCTTTATAGGTTTTGATTTACTTGTGAAAGATTAAAGTTACCATACTGCTTATTTTTTATAGCTTTAAATGAAATAGACGTACTTAGAAGAAGTATTTGGGCATTTAGTTTCTAAGAAAAAGCGTGTTGATGGACAGATAAATAACGAAGGGTATGAAATATAAATGTACCCTTCGTTATTCGGTTATTAAAATAAGGTTTTACTTTTATCTTTTAAGAAAAGAAATTCCTGAAAGAGAGATAATTAGGCCCATTAAACTTCAGAAGCAAAAAATGGTTAGCATTTTAATAGAAAAGATACTCTGATACAGTACATAATTTATGAATAATATGTACCATTAACAATATAAGCATTACTTTCATCACATATAATGTCTATCAGTGTTAAATAAGGCCTAAAAACATTTCCATAATAACTTGAAGGTACGCCTCTATCCTCACTATATAGCTAATTTGCTCGAACAAACATGGCTTTGTTGCGTCGCGTTCAATTTAAATGTTTATTGAAACCGCCTCGTGAATTGGGCCAGACAATGAGAATCGCACTAATCGTGCCATTTGAATATACAATACATGTATTCTCAGTAGGAGGGGATTTAGATCGTGTTCAGAATTAGTTTCTACAGTGACGCCCTCTGTATTGAACTAAAAGTCGGTCCAATGTTAAGTGCTTAAATGAATAGTCTGGGTTGAACTGTCTTGATTGAGGTTTGGATTGCAATGGATTTTGGTGGCCTTTATTAAATCCACTCTAATATTAGAATGCGAAAGTCTATCTGTCTGTTACCTCTTCACGCTTAAACCGCTGAACCGACTTATAAGAAATTTGTATAGAGATAATTTGAGACCCTGAAAGGATCATCCATTAAGGGGATGAAAAGGTGGTACAAGTTTGTATGAGGAATCAATAACAGCTGCACTGATTTAAATCAAATTTGGTATGGAGATAGTTGAAGTTGGTATAGGAAAGGACACAGGCAACTTTTTTTAGTACTACTAATCAAATGAATCTATTCGTTTTGAACCGACTTTATATCGCATAGACGGCAAATGAGCAGACAGGTCACCTTATGCTAAGTGACAACATCCTCTGCTCATGGACACCTACAACTCAAAAGCCATAAGTGCATTGCGCCTTTTGAGCCCGCCTCCAGAAATAGGGGGAGGGGGTTATAAGCTCCGGTAACCTCACTCAATCGGTGAATAGCAACAAATTAATTTCTTAACTCGTTTGTTTTTTTCTCTAACGTCAGACTCCGTCATTAAGGAAGCGATATGAATATATTTTTATTTGAAAAGGTATACATCTCCTTTGGTCATTAAAATTTGAAGAAGAAATACCACCGCTAAAAAAAAATTATAGAATGAAGACTATAGTTTCTTACAATTTACCATGATGTACACACACTAAGGTTGATGATACTATTATACGAGTATATAAAAAATATATATAAAAATAAGTTATTAGAGATATAGTTGAGCCCCGTACCAAGGTTTTTCCGGGGGATAGCACACTTAGCTTAGTATGGAGTGCCTCAAGAAACGAGTGTACTGTAATTTTAAGCGTCTTGAAGGAGCATAAGAATTTACTGGCGTTAATTATAATAGTACTAATATTTCGGCTACCTGACACACAATGCCATCTAATTTCAAACAAAGCAGGGCTTGCACTATGAAAACTAGATTGACTGATAGAATACTTATATCGGGAATCGAACTCGAGACCTCAGCACAGCATTCGCATACGCTACCACTGCACCACTGAGGCAGTCATTAGAAATGTATTCTCTTACAATCAGACTGACGCTATGCTTGTCTGCCCTCAGTATGGTAAAAAAAATGGATTCGAAATATTTATGAGTACTGTGTAAGTAGTATCAGCTACTGTGTAAGCAGGTCTTAATATGGTGGATATCGGTATACTTTCCCGGTGTTCTAAATCCGTTGAGGTTTAAACTCTCATCATCATTACGTGATAAGATAAAAAAGGTTAACGATCGGATGGGAAGTGAAATTCCCTCCTTAAATACTTTTCCCAATATTTTTCCACGTAACTATTTTGGATGTAAATTCCAACTAACGTCTAATTTAATTCGAAAATCTTACGTGTATCAAATATTTTCAAATTAAATTACATTAATTTTTATTTCTTCAATGAAATTCAAAAAGATATTTCTCTAATATTTAATAAGATTTCTATTAGACAATGGGTATTATTCGATAAGACACCCCGTACTCTGAAATTTTGTGATCAACGGACCGAAGTAAGGGTGTCTTTAATTTCATAATTATGTCAGCCGGATCCCTTTTTGGAATTCGACTTTCCAACTTGATTAAAATATTCTAGGAAGCAACCGCAGATTTCTTAAACGAAGATTCGGAATAAATTTTCGGGTAGCGAGCTTCTCATTCTTGGCATAAATTAAGTAATCGTGTAGCTATTAATAAATCTAAAATCGACAAGTTGAGACTTTGATTTGTTTTAATGTTCCTTGAAAACAGTGCTTCTTTACAGTTAAATATAAAGTTTCTTCCTTTCTTAATATTAAGTATAATGAATCATGAGTTCAGGTAATGATGTGTTCTTCACACTATATAAGGGTATTTAGGAACTTATTAGGGCTTCATTTACGTAATCAATGTGCGATAATAATTACACACCATAGAAACATTTCTGTTCGTGCTCTTTTGCATAATAAGAGCTTAACCTCGCATATATTATGTTTACAAAAAGGAAAAGATGATACACCAATCAATTGAGTTTAATATTACTACAAAATATTACTCGTACTAACAAACAGGCAAACACAAAAAATATTAATTTAGGAATTACTTTCTGGTATGTTTGTCAATAGCTTTGTTGTTTTTTTTTATAAATACTGTAAATTGTTTAGGTTCTTTACACACACACTCATAGATATAATGTTATTTTTACGTCATGTCAGGGTCCCTTATGTAGTAAAACTACTTTTGCGTGTACAATTACTCTTCTTGTTAGTAAATTATGTTAGTATTTATAGTGTAATATTAATCGTGTGTGAGCTAACATCTATACACATACAAACAGAGATTTAGCTGACTAGTAAATATATTAAGTAAATAACGAATAAGGAAATTATTTTGGGTCGCTGCTATTGAGGTGACACACATACATAGTTATAACAAAACAAATGGACAATTATAAGGACCAAATAAATTAATTTGACTTTTCAAAGGCCTGTGACAGTATAATTTACACTGGTCGTTTAAAAAAACAAGATATTCAAACCCGTCGAAAGTCGATCGCCAGGTTATCTCTATTTGTGACAATTGCATGTGCTTGGCCTTTAAAAACAAAAGAAACAGTAAGAATGACGTATACGTACCAGTAATATTTTTCCTGCCAGGCGTATTGACGGCGACTCTCACGACCAGTTGAGTTCCACCGCGTGGGCCAAGTCGGAGACGTTCTGTGACGTACAGAGCGCCGGTACTTGCGAAAGCTGCTCCTGCGCTGAGTGCCAACAGTGCTGTCACCTGGAGTAGATAACTTGTGTTATACTTACGTACAAATATTTTAAATTTCGAACTATCGAATTCTGTACGAACTTTTTTTAAGGCGCTCTTGCAGCGCGGTGTGTAGATGTGCAAACATTACCTCACCCCCCGCTAACGTATCGTACGCAAAGACGCAGCATGTCAAAAAACTGCGCGAATCGGATGCGCGCCACTCAAAGTTACGTCCAGATATTGTGCCACAGTGTAGCGTACTCGTAATGCAGTAGTTAGAAAAGAATATCATGTTTGACGTATATAATTCTAATTGGCTTTAGCACTTTTAAACTTTTGTTATTCACCTGTGTGTTAGCTTTCTACTAAAATAGGTATACACGAAATTAAAAAAATATTGAAATTAAATGACCGTTTAAACAGGCGAACTAAGGTTTATTAATTATTAGTTATAGGATATTAGGTCATTACTTCCTACATGTATAATTTGTTTACTCAAAATCTCATAAACAATAGATGTTTTTGAAGAGAAAACTTCTCTAGCGGTGTTGTACACTTTTTTTGTAATGGGTAATAAATGTTAAACTCGCGTCAGGACACGTGACCTGATTGAAAATTCGTAAGAAGGATGGAGAGTAGACAGTCGGCGCAGCGTAGGAGAGGAAGTATCCCCCTCTCTTTCTACGGCGCGGCGAAAATGTATGGGTGGGTATCATAATATATTCATATTATGATACCCACAAATCAAAAAGACATTTTCAATGGCCTGTGACATGTAACTGACCTTGAATTTTATGAAACCAGTTATCAATTTTTTTTTGTAGCGGAGCAGCTGAATTTTATTATTTTCTAGTTCTTGCTGCAATCCTTCTTTGGCAGCAACTAATGAGCATTTCACTTCAACCAACATATCATTCCCAATCAAGCCATCAGGTGTAGCTCTAATAAATGGGTATTGCTTATCAATAAAAAGTCCACATGCTTAAATTTTAAATTGGTTTTCTTGCTGAATTTGTTGTATGGCTTGCTTTTCATTTTCAATCCCATGAGCTACCGAGGTCACTTGCGACAAATTCTTTTTGTACAAAATATATTTTACCAAAGAAGATGTATCCGTAGAGTGTTTCTTCTTGCAAATATTTTCTAAATTCGAAGCTGTTATTTTTTTTTCTTATTTCAAGCCACTCACTCGAGTCGTAAGATTGATTAATTTGTTTAAATAACTAGCTTTCCTTCGCTCCAAAACAAACATTGACATATCTGGTGCCCGACCTAGCTTGACCATAGTCGTGCTATAGGTCGTTATTAGCGTTTTGAAATCTACGTATCTTTTTTACTGGATGTTCCAAATCCAATTTACGTTTATGGGCCCTTTTTTTTCGATGTACTTTAAAACTCTTCTTGAAGGACTTCTATTTAACTTTTTTTTTTTGCACAGCTGAAATGGCGGCATTCCTGATAAAAGATACGACTGCTACTGCACATCTTCCTTGGTACCCGCATCTGAGAGCAAAATTAATTCTTTTCCCACCGACAAATTTAGCTATAACATTATTAAATCTTTTGACGGTGTTGGTTTCAACATTTTCAATTAAACTTCTTGATTTCCCAACCACAGTTGCAACAATGGCATTCAGTATAAATAAAAATGTACTATTCCGTTTTTTGCCTAATGTCACCTTTTACTCCATCATGCTCACAGTTGTAATCATGGCACATTCTATGATCTCCGTAAGCGTATTCAACTGAATATGTTATATCTTTAAGAAGTACCGAGACGGCATCGTTTTTCGGAACATCAGACTGGTGGTGATATTTTTTCGACCGAATAATTAATTTTCTCATAGCCATTATTTATTGGTCCGTTAAAGTTTTTCTATACAACTAGAAAAAAATTGTCTCTTTGGCAAGGTTCCGCTTCTTTTTACAAAAATTTCGTAAAATATGATTGGGAAATTCAATTTTTTCAACAGTCAAATTCTGTGTTTTTTAGGGTTTCACCTTTAAAATTTTAACATATGTGGAAGATTCACCATCTGCTATAAGTCTTTGATATATTACTCCGTACATAGCAACAGATGTTTTAAAACCCTCCGCAATTATATCTGCTTCCATAGAGGTAGATGACCATCAAAGTTTTTAAAGCATTTATGTTCTGGAGGCGTTATGTTATTTTTACTAGCCCGGCTACAAACCAAACAGTATTTATTTTTTACACCCATGTACAAGACCGCACCTGTTTTTCTGCCAATAATAGCAGCAGCGCCTAAGAAAGTTTTCTTGTTCACTGAGAATAGTGTCATTGTCTAGTTTTACACGACAAAACTAAAAAAAAAAACAGATATTCCATTTATATAAATACAAAAACTAACGTAGTACTATGCTCAATAGAAATTGATTTCTGTAGGGTCTCAACCACGCCTGTGAATATGCTTTGTCTCATCGAAGTGCTGCAAAATAACAGTAAATAAACTTATATTACTGTTGAATTCCACATAATTTAAATGTGCCTGACTATACCAAAATTAGAGATTTCTAATAACATTTTCTGATTACCTTCTTTCTATACTACCAATGAATACTGTTTATTTACCGTACTCACATGCATACTGATTTTTTTAGACTGTGGATCAGTGAAACTTATGTGTTTGTAAAATTTTACCATTTTTGTGTTTTATAAACATTGTAGACTGAAATAATTTACTAATAAAATAGAAGGAATAATTATATTAAAATTAACTTATAAGTATTCTGTTGAAGCTCTGTGAAAACGAATTTTACGTATTTGCGTGGGGGAATTTCACGGAGCAAAATGACGTGCGTCCGACCTCAAACAAGGCTCAGCGAGCTCTGACAGGCGAACTTCGCCGCCGTAAGCAAGCGCAAACACATATTTTTTGGTTCCTTTTTTTATAAGTACAACTATGTGAAAATATATCCTTACCAATCCCTAAAAAAAAATAAGCTCTATTTTTTGGTATAATTTTTACGTGAATCCATGGTGGCATTTTACAACAATTTCTATTTGAAATCGTGAGTTAGTGCTATGTTTGTGATTTTTTTTTATCGAGCCAAATTCCATAAATCATGTTTCCATCTTTACAGATCTCTAGATTATATCTTTAATTTTTAAAAAATATTTAGTTTCATGCACAATAAATGCATATTAGGGTATTTATTTCTCTTCAAAAAAGTGCAAAATCGCTGCAACCTCGCCTTAATGCTAAGTTGAATAGGCATTTGTGTTCCATTTTAACTGAAGGAAAGCGACGATGAAGACCGGTATAAGTGTTCGTTCGCGCCTATACGGGATGTTAAGGAAAACGCCACCAAAAAAAGTCAGGTCAGAAACGTCGCTCGTGTCTTGCTTTTTTTCTGATCAATGATCAAAGGTATCGTTAGTACTCGTACTATCGTCTGTCTCAGTTTTCGAGAGCGTTTGCTGAAATCCTGCATAGGCACAAACTAAAACTTGTTTATAACTAGTTTTATATAATGATTTTGATTTTGTTATTTGTTAATGTACCTTTTATTAGCTTCGTGTTTATTTATTTTTTTCCTCATTAAGGTCTTATAATATATCTAATTAATACATTTCGTTTTAATGAGTTAAAACAGTTCTCAAAAAACAGGCCAGTAGAATATTTACAAATCAGCCTTTCCAGCCAGCTAGAGAGAAAGTCAGAGACTTTGTAGATTTACTAACCTAAAGAATATTTTCATAACAAGCCACACAAAAGTACACGAGTCCTATCCAATCTCCTTATTTAACTCATACATGCCGTTTCCGGAAGATGTATAAACATATACAGAAAAACATAGGCAACAAATATGGCACCGTCTATAGCACATACTCGTAGTACCTGCACGGATTGCGTAGTGATTTAAGCGGTCACCACGCCGCTTCCTACTACGCCGAGTGTTGTGGGTTCAAACCCCACATTAGACGATACTTTGTGTGATCCACAAATTGTTGTTCCGAGTCTGGGTGTACTTTGTGTCCGTTTCATGTATGCTTGTAAAGTCCCCCGCGACACGTTATGTATATATTCCTAAAGCGGGAGTTGTCTTTTTAAAAAACAAAAAAAAACAAAACAAACCTTTATTAAAAGAAAAACTTAGAATATAAAAAAATAATAACCCACAGACTTTGGAATGTGTAATTCATCACACATATTAAAATAAGTAATATAAAAGTCAAACAGTCGTTAACTCTATATGAGACTTATAAAGCACCCTTAATCTTAAAAAGGTTCTCAATCTTCGTCGAAAAAAAGCATTGTAGTTTCCAGCTCGTAAAATATTATATTACATTCGATGAATATAAGAACTAGCCTACATCCCTTTTCTTTCAAACGCTTTATATAATTCACAGCCTTGAGCTTTGTTCTTTTGAAAATCCCCATAGGAACTGGGTCTATATAATCTGGGCTATTGGATTTCAAGACATCTATCAATAGACCATATCAGCTCATATTAGTTCCTGTAGAGGATATATTATATAATGAAGGGAATATTTTCCGAAGCCTTGGATCAATAACGTTATTTGTGTATGTATTGTGAATGTATTTATGAGGTATTAAGTTAATTATGTGGAACAGAACGAGTTTTTACTTCTCCTAGGCTCAAACTTGTGATGAATGTATGAATGAATGAAACTTCAACTAAGGACACTACACAACAAGTCTGACTATGCAATTAATTGAACTACGGATCATATGAACGAACTCGAAAGGAGTATAGACCGCTGTCGTATTTCTAGCGTACATTAAAGGTTTTGTGGAGGAACGGGTGTCATGTTCTCTACACACACACAAGGCGAGGATCGAGGCGAGGTGATCATGCCTGGCGGAAATGACCTATTTTTAAGATAACACAAGTTTTTTAATACAAAGCAAGCGCTCGACGTCTATGTACATATGTATGTTGTTCGACGAAAAAAAACGCGAAGTTGTTATCGCGACAACGCGACGCGTATTTTCGCATGATAATGAACAATGATTTACTTTATCTGAATTGCGGTAAAA